AAAAAAAATGATGATGTGGAAAAAATAATAATATAAAAAAATATTATAAAAAATAAAACTTAAAAAAAAAAATTTATCTTTTTTTCTTTTCTTTCTCCTCCTTTCCCTTTCTCTTTCTCTTTCTCCTTCCCCTTTCCCTTCTCTTTCCCCTCGAAACGCAGCAGGCCTGGGTTCCTTGAGAACCCACCCAGGCGCTGGATTCCTTGTGAACCCAGGCGCTGGGTTCGCAAGGACGCTTGCTTGGGTTCGCGTTCCTTGCGAACTGCGAACCCAACGCCTGGGTTTGCGTTCCTTATGAACCCAGCACCTGGGTTCGCACCGAACCCAGCATGCCTGGGTTCGGTGGAGCCCAGCATGCTTGGGTTTGGTTCCTTGCGAACCCAGCGCCTGGGTTCGCAAGGAACCCAAGTGTGCTGGGTTCGCAAGGAACCCAAAAAATTAAAAAAATTGATTGATTGTGATGAAATTGTTTTTTGGATTTTGTTGTTTGATTGTGATGAAAAATTGGTTGATGAAGATGAGGAAGGCAAGGTAAGGCAGTTGCTAGGTTCCTGTGCAGGTGCTGGGTTCGATTTTTCAATTTGAACCTACTAGCCGCTAGGTTTTTGCAGGTGCTGGGTTCGAAATCGAACCCAGCAGGCGGTGGGTTTCATTTCAAACCTAGCGGGTGCTAGGTTTGAGCAGCTGCTAGGTTCTTGCAAGTGAGGCTCTGGGTTTCGTTTCGAACCCAGTAGCCGTTGGGTCAAGTATCTATTGAGTTTAATCTGTTGATTTGTTGTGTTATTCTCGAATTTAATATTAAGAGTTAGGGTTTGCAAAAGGTTAAAGGAAAGGGAGAGGAAGAAGAAAGGGAAAAAGGAAAAACAAACGAAGAAAAAAAAAGAGGAATAAGAAATTTTTTAAGATTTTTTTTTTGCCATCTCATTTTTTTTTGGCAATCTGTACATCTTAGGTGTCAAAATGCTTGTACATGTCATCGTTTTCCCGTCAAGTAACGAGACACGTAGGTTGATATTTGACGGAAAGACCAAATCGGGGTAAAAATGGTAAACAGTAGGGACCAAATCAGGGATTTTTTTAGTTCAGGGACCAAATCGGGGGTCCGTACAATAGTTCAGGGACCAAAAAAGGGTTTTAACCAAAAAGAAAAGAAACGGAAAAAGTAGAAACAAAAAAAAAAAAAAAAGAGGAAAAAAAAAACAGAAATGGAGAAACAAAAGGTAAATGACAGATTTTCTATTTAAGTGATTTTTCTTTTTTGTTTATTTTGGAAATTATTATTTTGATATAAAATTGAAAAGTCCCTAAAATTAAAGTATGTGGTAACTATATTATATGGAAGTTGTGGGGTGCCTAACACCTTCTCCATGCTTAACTGACCCTTCAAGCCTAATCAATTTCTATGTAGATCTTGGTGATCTATCCCACCTCATTTGGATAGATGGCGACTCCACCCATTTTGGCACATTAACAATTATATAACAATATGATCAAAATCATGCCAAACATGCATAAGAGATAAGATCAATTAAGATCTCAAGATGAACAACAATAAGATATATACAGTTGCACAAAACATGTCGTGTACTTTAGATGAAACAATGAATCCATTATGCTTGTGTAGGGTTTGAGATCAATAGGTTTACCTCCATTGTTGTTAAAGCAATTGAATACCTTATTGTAGAAACCATTGATTTTTCTCTTTATATCTCAAACTTCTCATGCATCTCGTTTGTATGTTCTCTTTGATTAGTGAAGATGTCATTTTTGGGATAATTTCATTTGAGGTTCCAAGAAATTTGAACATCCCAATTTTACCTAACATTGCTTTAGAGAATTTTTTTGAGATGTATCACCAATAATCACATTAACTTTATAAAATCTTGCTCTTGGGTAGAATTATTTTCTTTGTTTTTGTACTTGTTACATCTCCTCAATTTTGTTTTTCTCACTTGCTTCAAATGGAAATTGTATGATGCTATTGCCTTCAATGTCAATCTTTATCCTTGTTGCCCCAAAACATCTACATCATAATTTCACAATTCTTTCCAAAGCAAATGGGATTAGTCTCATTAAATACCAAACGAATAGATTCAACACTTTCATCTTTCATACATGCATCATAACATATGCTAGTGAATATCAAAATTCTTATGCATTAAGTTCAATTGTGACTAGGCAAACATTCAAGTGCATGACACTCACACTTTCACATAATCCAATATCATCAAAATCATCAATCAAATCAATCATGCCTCATTATATAGCTTCAAGATTATATTTTTTCTTTACACTTTCACTCCAACATTCTTGTTAAAGTGTAAGTTTTTATCAAGATCAACTTTGCCATCAACTTTACCTACAAAACAAAATTAAGTTTTGATTTTTGATACTCAAATTTGTTTGGATCCTTTGGAGTTAGTGCTTAAAGTTCTTTTTAGAACCCAAATTTGTCTCACTTTGCCTTGAGCTATAAATTTCTTCAAAGGATATACACGTGCAATATGTCATTTTCCTCCACAACAATAATAAATTACTTTAGGATTTGAGAATTAATTAGCTCTTACGAAGAAGTTTTTAAAGTTCTATATTGTTTTAGAACAATCAAATCCAATGCCTCATTTCTCAAAAACACTTCTTTGAGGACTCAAGATATAATCAATTTTTTTTATTATTCAAAGTGAATTTAGAAATTACTTTCTCAAGATCACCAACTTTCTTTTTCAAATTGTCATTTTCCTATTTTGAAAACATCATTAGAAAACTCATATTTCAAGGAAACAATCACTACTAGAAAAATGACGTATACGGACCGACCATATACGGACCAAATACTGTCGGTCCGAAAAAATAAATATTCGAACCAATATCGGTCTGAATATACCAATGAACATATTCGGACCGGTATTGGTCCGTATATTTCTGGCGGACACACGGTGTAGACAAGCCAATAATATTCGGACCGGTTTCGGTCCGAATATCATTTTTGAAAAAAAATAAATATTAAATACCAAAAAATATTTCTGGCGGGAGTCCACAGTGTAGACGCGCCAATAATATTCGGACTGGTATCGGTCCGAATATTATTTCTGAAAAAAAATAAATATTAAATACCAAAAAATATTTCTGGCGGGAGTCCACAGTGTAGATGCGCTAATAATATTCGGACTGGTTTCGGTCCGAATATTATTTCTGAAAAAAATAAATATTAAATACCAAAAAATATTTTTGGCGGGAGTCCACAGCATAGACGCGCCAATAATATTCGGACCGGTTGCGGTCCGAATATTATTTCTGGAAAAAATAAATACTAAATACCAAAAAATATGAATAAAATATTATTTAACTAAATATATACGGACCGTTTTCGGTCTGTATATATCCATTAGAGAATATCTCTGAATCGATTGGACGCTGGGTCCCACTGACAGTTTTTTTCGGACCGGTAT